CAGGGAGGGTCCCTGCAGGAAACGGAATCCCCCAAATAGTTTGAATGTAGGCATTTTAATGACAAAGTCCACACAGAGGCACAGCCAGGGGTAAGAGAATCTGAGGCCCCTAAAGGCTGGCCACAGAGGGGAGCTGTTATCACCAGCCTTGGGGGGGGGCGAGGAGAAAGGGTGGGAAGACTGTGAGAGCCACAGATGCTTGGCGCCCACAAACCTTGGAATGGAGCCTCTATAAGAGAAGGGGCTCCAGAGAGGGAGCAGGGCAGAGACCACACTGACCTTCCTCTTCCCACCCTCCTGATTTCCAGCTGGTGCTCCTCACAGCTCAGCCAGAGGGCTGGGGGGATGGGGTGTGTGTCTGGGGATACACTTCCAAGGAGTCAGGCCCCTGGAGGTGCAGAACAGGGCAGAGAAGGGCGGAGAGCAGTGGTGAGGGGGGGGGCGGGGGAAGGGCAGGAGAGGAGAGGGGCTGATGGAGAGTCACCAGCCTGGAAGGAAATTGTCAAAATGTCCTTCAAGCCTGCCTAGGAACTGCTGAAGATTCTGTGAGTCCTCTCACAGTTTTAAATAATTAACACGTGGTAGAAAGGTGTTAAGGACACCTTAGCATCAAACAGAGGCTCTTTTGATCGAGGTGATAAGAATTATAAAAATAACAGAGAAAGTGAATAGCTTTTTCACTTCTTGACTCAGAGAATTCGGTGTTGTGGTTAGTGTAACACACTTCTCCCCTGGTGGGAACACAGACGTGTGGATGGCACCCCCCAGTGTTACTCACTCGGGGTACTTAGCAGCTCACGTCAGGCATTCTTGGGGGGGCTGCAGCTGGAGGTGGATGGGGGTGTCAACCGCCTAGTCCAGCGGGCTGCAAAGGTGGGTAAATGTTGGGGATGGGCTCTGGTGACCCAGGCAGGCACTGGAGCAGAGCGGTCCGTGTGCTGGCAGGTGACAGGGTGTGCAGAAGTGTTGTCGCAGGGGCCGGCGGGGCTCCTGCAGTATCGCCTTCACGGCCCTCTCCGCTGCCCCTCCCCTTGAGGATTCATGGTCCCGGGGATCGATCACCCACCCTTTTCTCTCTCGCGCCACATACTTCTCACGAACACGTCAACCACTCCTGTGCCTTCAGCTACCGTCTCTTTGACGATCAGAGCGATTTAGTGACACCCATGTCTTGCCAATGCCCGCACCTCTGGTACCTCACTCTCCGTGGAGAATCTCACCATCTGCTCAGCTGCCCAAGTTGGACACCTGGCCCCACTTTGGAATCCTCCCTGTCCTTTGCCACCAAGTTCACGGTCAGAGCCTGGGAGTTATCAGGCTCTGATAACCACACATCCTCACCCCTAATGTTGCCATGGCAGACCACCATCATCTCTCGCACAGAGTGCAGCAAAGACCGCCCCTCCCCGCTCCTTCTAGAGAGGGCTTCCTGACAGGTGTCCTTTCCTCGCTAAGACCTTTAGGGCCCCCCTTGCCTCTTCAGCACGGGTCAAGCCCACCTTCCACGGCCTGGCTTCCGGCATCCTCAAGACCTGTGTGCTCTTCCCTGTGACATCTGGTGGCCAGCTGGCCTCGGGATTGCTGACGACCGAAGTCCACCGCCTCTCCCCTCCCACTCAGTGGCCACCCTCTTGCGGGAACCCTGGCTCGGGAATTGTTTGGGAGGCCGGAGGGCATGTAGATGAGGGCCATGGCCGGGGAACCCTGTGCCCTCAAACCCAGATGGGCCTCTCTGACCAGCCCGAAGGCAGAAAATGGTCTGATCTCACAGTGGCTGCTCTATCCCACCAGCTTACAGCCATGGCGAGTCCTGGAGTCAGAGAGGGCTGGGTTTGAACCCAGACCGTACCACTATCTGGCCATGTAGACTAGTTGCTTAGCCCCTCCGGTCCTAAGTTAACTCATCTGCAAAATGGGTACCACCTCCTAAGGTTTTAGGAGGATGGGGGAAATAACCCATGTGAATGCTAGTGTCTGAGATCAGATTCCCCGGAAGCAGACGCTGAGATGAAGATTCACATGCAAGTCGTTTATAAGGAAATGGCCTGGGGGAGAGTGGTAGGGGAATTGGGGGCGGTAGGGCAGGGAAATAAATGTGGAGACAATAAGAAGCCTAAGTAACCCCAGCCAGGCATTGGAGATGCTAGTGCCTGGTTCTCCGTTCAAACTTCTTTATTTTCTAAGCATTCCAACCCCTGATGCCCATCCCACCTCTCAGCCTGTCTGAGAGAGCAGAGCAGGATGCTGCTGGGCGGGGAGGTGGGGGGTGGAGGGGGGTGGAGGCCTGGCAGGGATGAGAGAGCCACCCCCCGGGAGAGTAGGGGTGCTTCAGGAGAGGCGCTGAGTCAGTAAGCAGCACAGTGGTGAGGGGCGGCCTCCACATGCCACTGGGCCGACAGCAGCTGGAGGGGAAGGCTGCCGGGAGGGAGGCCAGGCCTCTGCGGGAGCTGCCGCTCTCCTGGCGAGGCTCAGCCCGCATCTCCTGCCTTCCTCCCTGCTGCCTCAGTGGGCTTCGGGCCAGAGAAGGGCCTGGGAGGCTATGAGTGTGCCCAGCCAGGGGGTGTTTTAACAACTTCTGGGCTGCCAGGACCGCGTTATTCTCTTACAGAAATCCAAGGGGATGTGATAAGAAAGCCCAGGAGATGTGATATTTTTGTAGCCAAAATAAAGGGGGGAGGGGGTAGAAGAAAAGAATTTCTCCACAGCTCTAAAAGCCCGTTGTGCTCGGAATGATAGTGGGTGTTTCAGAATGTGGATTCTTTGTCAGGGAGCAGAAAAGGACTGAGAATTTTCTGTTTGTTTCCTTCATTCACTAAACAGTATATATTGACGTCCCTAGGACGTTCCCGGTGGAAGGGACAATCTTATAAAGGCAGAGATGTAGGAAGGACATGTTTGATGGGTTTGGAGAACAGAAAAGTTGAAGATCGGGACTCTTTGTTGTAAGTGATAGAAATTCCTCCTCATACTAGCTTAGGCAAAGATAAGGAATTGATTGGTTCACGTGATTGAAAGAACAAGTGATTGGATGCTTCAGGCATGGCTGGATCCAGGGGCTCACACAATGTCACAGGACGCAATCTTCCTCCATCTTAGCTTTGCCTTCCTTGACACTAGCTCTGCTCTCAGGAAGGCCCTTGCCACTTGGTGACTCAGTCAGTTCCATCCATCTACTTTTCCAGGCTCAAACCCAGTATAAAGGAATTTTCTTCACCAATAGTTCCAGCAAAAGTCCTGTGGCTGACTCTCATTGAACTGACTTGGGTCATATGTCCATTTCTGAATGGTCAGGTGTGGTGCATAGTCCCTTGTCGAAAGTGTAGGCCTTGCTCACTGATTAGTGTGGCTTGGAAGGTAAGTCACGTGCTGTGTCACATTTTCCACTGCCCACTCTTTGTCTCAGAAATCGTATCTGCTCCCACAATTTCTTTTCTCCCTCTTGACTCTGTCTCCTGCTTTGACCTCACTCAAGCACCCGGGGCTCCATTTCCAGGGGGCCATGGTGGAGACATGCTCCTCCCATACAACAATACTATGGGACAAATTGAGCCCTCACTAGACGCTAAGCACAAGCTCTTTACATTGCCCTGTGATTGAATCCTCACAGCCTGACAATACTAGAAATAGGTGTTATTTTTATCTTTGTCGTATAGGTAAAGAAACTGAGGTACAGAGAGGTACGCCTCTGAACCGATGACAAGAGTCATAGGGATTATGAAGCTCTGATTGGCTACACAGGAGTCATGTGCCCATACATGGAGCCAGGAGGTGCATGAGCTGCACCCGAACTGCATAGACTGAGAGAAGGAAGGGACTCCCCAGGGAAAGGATTGTAGTTAGAAGTGGAGGATAAAGTGGGCTGGGAAAATGCCCCCTAACTTAGTTGGCAAATGATGGCAGCCCAATTTGGGGAAAAAACAACAACAACAACAACAAAAACTGGGAGAAAAGGGAGCTGTGCCAGCTCAGGGAATGCAAAGGTTTGAACAGCCAAACCCCTGAAAGGATAGAGGGGCGGCTGGCCTTCAGGGACAGCTAGAACCAGGCACTCACACGCTCATAAGGCTCAGGTTCTCAGAGCGCCTGGTTGGCCCAATTGGAAGAGCCTGTGGCTCCCGGGGCTGTGAGTTTAAGCCCCACTTTGACATTAAAAAAAAAAAAAAATCAAGATTACTTAAACATATAAACTTAATGGGGCGCCTGGGTGGCTTAGTCGGTTAAGTGTCCGGCTTTCGCTTAGGTCATGATCCCGCGGTTCGTGGGTTCGAGCCCCGCGTCGGGCTCTGTGCTGACTGCCAGCTCGGAGCCTGGAGCCTGTTTCAGAGTCTGTATCTCCCTTTCTCTCTGACCCTCCCCTGCTCACGCTGTCTCTCTCTCTCTCCTACAAATAAAATAAAATATATTGAAAAAATTAAAAAAATAAACTAAAAAAAAAATCTCGCACTCTGATTTGACCCTCCGCTACGGACTTCGGCGCTTCTAAGCGCAGATTGTTAGAGAAGGGCTTTGATTGGCCAACTCTAGACCACGTGATCACACCCGACCAATCAGCTCTGCTCAGGAAGACAGAGCCGCTTTAGAACACGGCAGGCGGGGGAGAGCTGCGAGGTTGAAGTTGTGGCCACGGCGGTCGGTAGTCGTTTCTAGAAAAGAGGGGGAGTAGGGTACAGGGCAGATAAAAATGTAGGTGTGCGCTCGTAGCTGCAGGTGACAGAGAACATTTGCACAAATGGTTTAACCGTGGAGAAGCCTTCGGGGCTGGTGATTGGCCCAGTGGTGTCACCCTTCTGTCGCTCTGCTCAGCAAGTCCAGTGTCAGCTTCCTCCTAAGGCGGGTACCCTCCCTCCTGGCCATCAGGTGGCTCCCTGGTGCAGCCATCTACCGGATGCAAAGAGAAAGTGAGACCCCGTCCAGCCGCGGGGCGTGGGGTGGACGGGACACGGGGCAGGGTCGCCCTGCGGCGTCCCGCATCTCACGGCCGCTCTGCCTCTGTCGTGCAGGGGTCCTGTGGCTGTCGGTGGTGTCCGAGGTGCTGTACATCCTGCTGCTGGTGGTCGGCTTCAGCCTCATGTGTCTCGAGCTCTTCCACTCCAGCAATGTCATCGACGGGCTCAAGCTCAACGCCTTCGCCGCTGTCTTCACGGTGCTGTCCGGTAAGGCGGAGGGCCGCAGGCGGTGGAGCGGAGCGTGGGTGCTGGAGCCGCCCTGTGGCCGAGTCCTGGCTGTTTCCGCAGGGTGACCTTGGCGCCCATTACCCCTCTGCTCTGAGCCTCCCCAATCCGATTCATAAAATGGGATGTGTGGGCCAGCCTATTCACTGATTCAGTGGTTGTTGAATGCCATGTGCCGGGTACCGTGCTAATAATAAGAGCCAGGGGGTTCCTAATGAAGGGACAGTTCCAGCGCTTGTGGCTTGTGTCTGGGGGACACGGCACGGTGTCTATTGGAGGTGGCTCTTGGAATGAGTGGATCATGGTGTCATCCACAGAGACATAAAAGGGGGGGCCTGTTTGGGGGTGGCAGGCACCTCACTCAGCTGCTTTGGCTGATTTGCCTTTGAGACATCCGTGTGGAAGCTGGAGGGGGGAGCAAACACACCTGGAAGCTCAGGGACAGGTGTGGGGTGGAGAGAGATTTGCGTAAAGCCCACAGAGCCAGGGGCCTTGAGGCTTTTACGGAGAACGGGACGGCCAGCGGCACGTCATGACTCAGGAAGCTGGAGACAGCCGACTCCAAGGAAAGGCCACTGGATCAGGTGGCCAGGTGCCCAGTTGTTTCAGCAGATCCAGGTCACGAAGGGTTAAGCAGGGAATGTGCCAGGAGTAAAAGCAGCCTCTAAACCATACCTTCAGGCGGCCTGACAGATAGAGTGGTGGCTTGGCTGTGTAAGACATCTGTTCCTAAAAAGCATATGTAAATTGAATTTCTATAAATCTAATCCTATTCTTCATGCGTTGAGGAACCCTCTGTTTAATGAAACCGAAGCGAGGAGCCTTTTGGTAAGGGACATAATCTCCCCCTAATGGAAACATGTTGTGTATAATAGAGGGGTCCCTCAAAGACTTGAGAGCTGCGTTCTAGAGATTACAGGATGCTCCACAGATGAAAACCTGTGTGACTTGGCATCCTCAGGATGTGGACATCTGACCCTCAGGGCAAAGGAAGGAAAAGAAAAATGGACTGATCCTCACTGGCGAGTGTCGGGTTTGGTCCCTGCTTGCACCGTTCCGAGCTCTTGCACCGTGGACAGGTCTGGACCTGTGTGTTCTTTTCTTTTCTCATCTTGGATTCCTTTACTCGGCCAATCGAAGGCCCGCAGGCACCAGGCACTTAGGGGTTGGGGGGAGTCAAGGGAAGAACAACTCCACCTTCAGCCTCCTAAAGTCTGCAGTCTTGTGAGAGACAGACTCGTCCAACAATTACAAAATGGTGGGTTGACCTCTGCACTGGGTGTGGTGAGAGGCCCGAAGGAGGGGTACCCACGTTGGCCGGGGGGGTGGGGAGGCATTGGGGAAAGCACCCTTTGAGCTGAGACTTGGAAAAGAAAACAGCAGAAGAGTTTGCTTGATGGACCGCTTGGGGAAGACAGTCCAGATAGAGGGGACAGCACGGACAGAGGCCTGGTGGGGTGGTGTATTCTGGAAACATCGAGGAGTTGAGAGGGACAGGAAGGCAGAGTAGGGAGAGCACAGCTGAGAGATGCAGCTAGAGAGCTGGGTGAGGGTCTTGGTGCTTATTTAGCAGTGATCCTGAGGTGTGACCATGTAGTTGACCACACTGAGAACCCAGGGTTAGAGGGGGATGCAGTCAGGTTTGCATTTGGGGTTGAGGGTTCAGGCTGCGGCATGGACAGAGTGGAGCAAGGGTGGAGGTGAGGAGACCAGATGGGAGGTGAGAAAGGATGGGGCCCCACCCAGGTGCAGGGGCAGTGGGAACAGGGGTGGGGGGGGGTGGGCAGGGTGCAGGTCACACCCCCTCAGGCCTGGAGGTGAAATCAAGGGAGCCGGGTGGGCGTGGCAAACAGAGAACCCAGGTCAGCTTCCTTCCACAGAATTCAGGGGGTCCACGAGCCTGGCGGGGTGGTGACGTTCCATCTTTATTTCTCTAACTTGAAACTGATATTTAGTATGTCCTTCAAATATGAGTAGAGGCAACAAAGCCCAGTAATGGGCAGCGCCTATTACATAGTCACCAATAATAATATATATTTCCTGTTGACGCTATCGTTGTGGCAGATGCGTTGAAATGCATTCATTCAAATGTGTAATAATACTAGAGCTTCTGCTGACTGTCGTTACCTCATGCATTAATGAAGAGGCACATATATTCCCATCCCACGGACTTGTTTGAATATTTTGCTAACTGTATTTCCATATAAGGGGTTTGCTTTATAATCCCACGTGTTTTGTTGTATGCATCGGAGACGTTATTCCGAGGAAGGGCCCATAGGTCCCCACGGCCAGAGCCCCTGGTCTTGTGTCCCGTGGCTGGTATCTGGGCAGGGATGGGATGAGCGTGGGCCACCAAGATGGGGAAGGTGGAACAAGCAGGTAGAGGGAGGAGACGGATCCGATTTGAGCGGGTGGGGTGTGACGTGCTGCGGGGGCGTCGAGGCTCCTCTTTCCTGTTAGCTTCACCTTTTCTTTCCTTTCCGCACTCCACGTATCGAAGAATCCCCCCAGTATCCCAGGCACCCAGCCCTCCCCTCAACTTGCTCATTCCAGTCACAGAACAAAAGCTGGTGGGCAGCCCAAGACAGCCATCCCTGAGTCTTCAAGCAACCTCTCCTGGGGTAGGAGGTGGGGGGCTCTTCCCCCTGTCTCCAAGGGCTTATCAGAGTTTTCACTCCTTCAAAAACCCGTCCCCAGAGGCCCGCTGCTGAAGAAAATAAGATTGTCTTCAGTAATTTCCGACACATAAACAATACAGGGTTCAGGGAGGTTAATTGACTTACCCAGGGTCACACAGCTGGTCATTTATGGAGCCAGGATTAAACCCAGCTCCCGCTGGCTTCAAAGCCCTGTGCTCTTTTCATAGGCTCCGAGCTGCAGGGGTGACCAGGCTGGAGGGAGAAGACTTTTAAGTCTTCAGAAAACAGTAACTAAGAAGCATGTGTGAGCCAGAAAATGTCATAAGACCGAAGTAGCAAGTGGTGGAGAGAAAGGGTTTTGTCCTCATACCTGGGAGAAGATAATGGGGGGGGGGATGGCAATGGGACACCAAGAGAGAGCCTGCGTGGTCCTGGAGCCCTAGCTTTTCTGGATCCCCCTGAGAACAGGGTAAGGGGTGGGGAGGGGCCCGGAGGAGGGGGGGTGGCCTTCGGGTTGGCTGCGATGGGAGGGAAAGGAGTGCGCAAGCCCGGTGACCAAGTCCTCTAATGCTGCCAGCCCAAGGGGTCTTCAGCCCAAGGTCAACACCTTCTATGGTAGAGGGGAAGGCAGAACTGGGGCAGCCCCTCCTCTACCCAATTATTATAATTGGTTATATAATGAACCAAGTGATTATGATTAATCGTAATAGCCGGCGCTGGCTGAGATGCTAACGGGCACCGGCACCGGGCTCAACCTGTCACCTGCAGTGGCGTCTTTACTCCTCATGGCGTCCTTGCAGGGAAGAGTCTAACGCCACCTGCATTCCGCAGCTGGGAATGCCAACTGCAGTCACGTAGCTGCGAAGCTGTTAACCCCCAGCCGAGCCTGCCGCTGAAAGTGCTTTGAGTAGGGCTTAGCACCTGGGACTCCAAGCTTGTCGCTTATTATTCCCAACTGTCTTCCAATAAACTGAGGGGCAGATGGTGGCCCCAAGGACCAGCCCCATCACAGTGAGGTGGGGAGGCCGAGGGGTTCACGCTCTTCAGGGAAGGGAGGAGCTGGTGACAGGGTCCGGCCGGCAGGGCTGTGATCGTGGCACAAGGTGGTGGTTCAGATGGGTCGGCCCCCGACGACTGGGGGTGGGGGCTGTGGTTGCTGGCCCACTGGCCCAGGGCCTAGAGCTCACAGTAGGGAGCCCACGAAATGTTTTAATGGTGACTGCTTTTCAAATCAGAAGAAAAAAATAATAATGTAATAATAGTGAAGTTATAAGAGTGAATCTAGACTGGATCATAATTGTTTTTCTACTGCTGCAGTCATAATATGCAAGTTTTACCATTTATTTTTTTTTAAACTGTTTATTTTTGAGAGAGAAAGAGACACAGGATGCAAGCACGGAAGGGCAGAGAAAGAGGGAGACACAGAATCCAAAGCAGGCACCAGGCTCTGAGCTGTTAGCACAGAGCCCGACACCAGCCTCGAACCCATGAACCATGAGATCAGAGCTGAGCTGAAGTCGGATGCTCAACCGACTGAGCCACCAGGCACCCCTACCATTTCTTTTGTAGAGGAACAAACCCACGGAGACAAAAGTGCTTGGGGCCCACGCACATCATGTTGTGGCCCTGCAGTGGGCCACAGCTTTACTTGGGCTCTCGGGACTGAACAAGATCGATTCCGGCTCAGGGAGGGTGGCTCTAGCCATCAGTGTCCCCCTGCCCGGTCCTGTGACTTCCTCCAAGAGGTACTGGGGAAGACAGAACGTGCTGTTTCTTTCCCCAGTGACCAGTCTTCCATCCCAGAAGGGACATGCAAGCAGGCTGGAGGATGTCCTGTCCTTTCCCGAGTCCTCTGAAAAACGAGGCAGATCCACTTAGGAGAAACACAAAGCCATTTGGAGAGAGTCCCTGCACAGTCGAGCTAACTGTGGGCTTTTCCTAAAAACTGCAGCAGCACAAAAAGAAATGTGACCAATTCTGGGAAATAAGCAGACCATTTTGTGAAGTCATAAGGAAAGGAAATTTGGCAATAAGACAAAAAATGATCAAGGTGAGGTTGCTGGTGGGAATTGGGTTTCAGGAGCCATTTTCAGAGTGAGGTATGAATTGAAGAGCAAGCGACTTCACGGCCTGCAAGGTGGAAACCACAGTGTGCTTCGGAGAGAGGTTTGGGGACCTTAGAGCTTCTCTTAGTGATGTGATTTATAACTTCTCACCATGAACCGCCTCTTGTTATTTTAGGATGAGTGTCTTGATAATTCTTGGGTCTGTGCCAAAAAGGAATCCCACATTAACAACCCCCTCTGTTCAGTCGCCCCACCCTAGTCAGACTGGGTCTCTCGC